GTGCTTTTCCTCGCCACAATTTCCGTCTCATGCGCCAACACCGTACACTTATTTCAAATTCAACGCCATTGTGCTCCTCGAACTTATGCCTTCCAAGAGCTGTTGAACGAGTACCGCGTCTCATGCTAGCCAGATGTTCTTTGATGCGAATGGCTAGAACCCTTCCTGTTTCTCCAATATAGGTTGAGTTACAAGTCTGGCATTCGATTTGATAAATTACTCCGCTATATGCACAATCTCCTATTTTACCGTATGGACAAATAACACAACCGTCTGACACACACTGCTTATCATAGAGCCTGTTTCGCACCAGTTGCCGTCCGATGTTTTCATTGGGAATATTAACCAGCTGAACATCGTTCTGCAGCTGTGCTCTTCTAATGCTCCGTTGAATAGCAGTGCTCACTTTGTCAGATATAAAGGGGAGACATAAGGGTAACTTGTTTTGACGCGGCACCCCTCTTGGGGAGATATGCTCACTTTGGTGTCTTTGTACCGCATAGCCATTTGCAATGGCTATTTTCATAGCTAATTGTCGTGATTCACGTCTTTCAACATCACCAGTGCTCACCACAGTCGCGGTTCTGAACATATTTCTGACAACGGCGCGTTTGACGGCGATTGGGTGAGCCGAGTAGCATGAATCAGAATGTTTTTCGAGCTACTTGGGGGTACCATTTCACATGTGCGATGCCATTGGATGATTCATTTTGCGTGTTGAGGTAAAAAATGTTCCACCTAAAAACCTCGTACAGCACAAGGAACTAACACAAATAAGAAGAACGATGTCGAGGTTACAAGAAGAAGAGAGAATCTGGAGACTACCATCAACTTCATATCAAGCACTATGGCAGCGACGGTGGCCATTCCTCACACTGTCGTCACGCTCGCCGCAGCTGTGACACACTAGGCAGCCACGGGCTCATGTCCGCTCCGCACGCTGTCTCGTGCTGGCATGCTGTCCCTACACAGCATGCCAGCACCCTGTGACCACTCACCTCACGATGGCTACATGCTTCATCGTATTCAGTGCTGTCCGCCAATATAAATGTGTAGTTGTTTTGCAAAGCATAGCATAACATAGAGTCCAGAGCTGTTTTATACTTCGTCCATGCTGTACCGTCATCCAAAATAGATACTATAGCGATGTTTCTGGTTACGAGTCCACGTTTGTATGTTTGCGCTGGTTCCACCGAGAAAATCTAATCGAAATCAAGATCATTCGAAAGTTGATACGTTTTGCATCGCAAATGTTCAGTGATATTTGCGATCATAGGTGGAGCTCGAAAAACTTACGGACAGCGGGAAAACATACAGCACTGCTAGTAATGTGAGCACCATACCAATAGCCGCAGCTCTATAGCACGTCATCCTAAATTTAATTACTTGAGAAATCAACCACACCATTTTCTGGTGCGGAAGAATTAGCACATGTGGAATATGTAGATGCATCCTCCATCAAGTGCCATATGCATAGTATAATCGGTTTCTTTTGCTCATTCGTTTGTTTGCTGGTGTGAATGTTACAAGATACAGTTCTACATTACATTTAGCTGGAGGAGCCGTGTCATTTTGAGGATGAGTAAGGTACGCGCATGAGGGAAGAAGCACATAAGAACCGGTTCGCACTGGACTGGAGTTGCAGACAAATTGCGATTATACAATAAAACGCAACTTGATGCTGGAATGTAGGTTTAAGGCCCGGATCGGGATTGAATTAGCGTTTTATTTTCTTCGAAATAAGATAACAATAGCACTGAGGAAAGCTAGTCGCTAGCGGGGAGAAAAATCAAAAAGCGTGGTTATAAATTTTGACATTTCCTTGTCTTTGTTTGGTAGCTACTGTTTTTGGCCGCAGTTCGCCTTGCGAACGTTCCACATGAATCTAGGTTGTGAACAAAGTACGCCCTAAATGGGTATACAGGGTGGCCAGAAAAAGGACACTTCCCATGGCGCACATCATCAACTTTTCATCGCACAGGGTGCCGCTGTTGATGAAAGTTTTACGGCAAAATATTCCTTAGATGTCCTCCATAAGTAGAAGCAGGCCCTCCTCCACTGCCCTCACCGTCCTCAAAATATGACGTCATCTTCCATCACCGTTGAGCTCAAGAAGGCCTACCGTAATCGTTCCAGCCTGAAGCTGCTACGAAATTCCTTTCGTCGGTTCACTGAGTGTTTGATTCCTAAGGACAACAGCTCTAAATGTGCAGGACCCCTTCGGATTTCCATTTCATCATTTCAGATAACGTCGTGATGGTCTATGATCCATCGAGGACCAGTTAAACTCGAACCGTGCACAACTCGCACGGCAAGTTCGTGATGTCCTTGGTGCAGAAAGCTATTATAAAGGCCGTCGATAGATTGGGATGTGCTCTTTAATATGGTTTTAATCTAGCAAGGTGCGATTAATGCTCTCTGGAATGTGGAGTGAAGTGTCTCTTTTTTGGCCACTCCTGTGTACATAGTAGAGGTGCATCCTCCACCAAAAGCCAGATATAATCGGTTTCGTCGGCTTGTTGCTTTGTTTGCTGTCAGTCACGTTTGGGGCGGAACTTTTTCACAATCCAAGATTTTTGTGAAATTTTTGCACGGCCAAAGCACTTAAGATCAAAAACAAGTCAATATGAATTGCTGAAGCTCTCAGCTTTCGGTTCACTGTCGATCTTGGTTGACCGGCTCAATACGTTATACATGTGAATGCTGACGAGCTATGGTTGGTATAACATTGATACCGTAAGTGGTACCGCACTTGCCCGGCAAGCAAGTGGTGCGGTTCCCGTTTGGGGGAAAGTTATGTTTACAACGCAGCGTAGCGAATTCTTGTGAAAGCTAAAATTTCATTGTGAGCTCATACGTGGTGTGGCGGAAAGACATAGCGCTGCGACGAAAGGTAGAAGGCGATAGAGTATGTACGTTGTACACTAGAGGGCACAGACGTCACGTATGCCGCGTTTAATAGGGATGGCAGCACGGCAGCGCAAAAGACAGGCGTTGCCCTTGATTTAAGAAACTCCAGCGATGGGAGGAGCTCCCAGGACCGCTCAGTGGCTATATACCCCGAATTTTTGTATTAATTATGGTTACTTCACCCTTGTTCTGAACAGTGCTTTCGCAACACTGTTATCGCTCGGTATGGTCAGACATAATTTTCGAATGCGTGTCCTGAACCCAAAATACTATAGAAACCCTACCATTTTCCGCCATTTTCTACCATTCCCCACCATTTAACAGCTTTTTTGATTAGAGGTCATTCGGGAGTGCTATGTGAATGAAAAAAAATCGAAGGTCTTCGACAATCGAAACTATTTCTGATTTTTTGTCTTATTAGGACAGAATTCGATGCCATACCATTCGAATTCAATTTGGGCTAGCGCAGTGCAAATGAATAAATCGAAAAACATTCTTAATTCACGGTCTGAAGACTGCGGTATAACTACGAACTCCCATACTTATCGCTGACTGAAATGCGCACTGTGCCGTTAGCTTTTCTGACTAACACGGATCAGCTCCTGCAGCGTCTGCGCAATTTCAGCTCCCAAAGTGTGTGTGTGGAATGCATTTGGGATACACGCTGTACTCAAAGTTCAAAACACACAGATTTCTCACTGCATTTGGTATCTGTCGCGGCTGCGACACCTTACTTTATTGTTGGTATCACTTTCGGACCAATGAAGCGCAGTTAGATAAGGCTTGGTGACGGTATGCTTAACAGCAGCATGTCGATGTCATGTTGTTACAATTCTAAGATTATGCGTTTGGCTACGGGCCACGGCGCTTTATAAGTAGTATGCGGTCTGCTTTGTAAGCTTAAAGAATTGAAGAACTGGTACTATTTAAATCAATTCCTTTTGATATACTACATGTATTAAGTTGTGAGGAAAGTTATAGCCCCTACGGTCATTTGCCTGACGTTCAACCTATCTCGTATGAGAAAAACCCTTTCTGTTTGTAACAAAACTATCACATTCTGCTCTTAATGAGTGAGCTTATTGAATTCGTTATCTGAAAAAGTACTGGAAATTTATAGGCGATGGCTCGATGAAAGGTTGTTTCAGCAGTATATTAGATTTCATAGCGTTTCTCGTTCGAAAAATTATCCAGACGTTTGAAGAGTGGCAGAGAATGCAGTGAGTGGTGTCGTAAAGCCAAGCACTCCAGTTATTTCAATTTCTTCAAGTGTGGTCAAGCGGTCTACGGCTGAGTGACAACACGAAAAAAGAGTCGGCGCATTTGTTGCATCCTTTGCTGGGCGCATGTGTTAGGGTTTCGAAGTATTTCCACAGAACACTCTCGTGCTATAATTTCCATCTGTGTTCGCAGAGCTGCGTCTGCTGCGGGCTCCCTAACAGGCAGCGCAACCCTTCTTGTGCAGCTTCACCTTTGCAGTCTTGTTGACTAGCCCTTATCGAACTAATCAGCTAAAGTTCACATTAGTGCGAAGAATCCACTCAACACTGCGCAACAAGACCCGAACGAAAACGAGTCCTTTCATCTCGCGACACCTTTCATCGCTTTTTCCGGACTTTCCATGTGACTTCAATTCACACGTCATTTACGTGCAGTACAGTAAGTTCAGTGAAGGCCCTCTAGATGATTAGCTGCTGATAGGAGCGATGAATAGTACGGAAAACACATTGGTATATTACTTTCAGGGAATTCGTGGTCTAAGGAAACTGCTGTAATGTCACCATCTCTGGAGCCGAATGTTCGAGAGGGATGCGCCTTAAATTACGCATGCATTGGAGGTTGCATTTTCGGAAAGATGCAAGGTAGGTTTTTGGAGACATACAGAAACATCTTGGAATGCTGGCTTATGAGGAGCTGAAGAAGGCCATTATGCAAAAGTGTTCACTATAGGGATGGCTCAACAGTACCTTTCGCCACAAAAGAGTCGTTTTTAGTTGAGTAATGAGGCATCGATGCAGTATATAAATTTCACAGCGCACCCAAGAGAATGCCTTGCGAAAACCGCGGATCAAGAAGAAGCCTAGATTTTCTGAATGCAGTGGTAGGATGGATGTGTAGAGCATTTTCGTTCTGAAATTATTCGGGTTGATGTTTTATGGAAAGCAATGAGCCTTCTATTTCAATAGTGCTGTCATGGAGACACTTCTGAGTTTCTTAGGTTATTGAAGTTGAGCTGCTGCGACGACTATTTCTGAACACAATGGTTCATTGAATGGTTGAATATGCTCCTTTTTAGCGAAGGTTTTCTAAGCCCTACGAATTTCCCAATTGTGTTCATTCCTAGTTTCCTTTATATTCTGATAATCTTGGTCATAAAAAAGAGCAGTAGAAGTAAGTACAGACCCACACATATAGCAAGACATATGTTTTTAGTGGAGCAACCGCGTCAAAAATAATTTTGAGGTTCACTGCAGCAAAAGCAACTGAAACTTGCCTTTCATCGCCAGAAAACGTCAATTCGATCGATTTTTTACAGTTGTCCCTTCTGATAAGTTTGACACATCGAATATCATTCTAAACATTTTTGCATCCGAGTTTTGGGTATTTAAAGCTCAAAATTCACGGATTTGATGTGAGGCGGCGGCGCCTGCAAAATCGCCGTGGTCCCACGCGGCGCAAAAACCCAAAACGCGCGTTGTCGTCAACGTGTTAATACGTTGACGACAAGCTGACGCGCATGCGCGTCAGAACGTTTGCACCGCATCGGACATTCTGACGCGCATGCGCGTCATTCGTTTTATTGTGCTTGCGCTCCTTCTTCTCGAGTTTTTTGTATTCATTCTATAGATAATACATTAGCATAACTATAAACCACATGGCAGCCAGAGTGGTCAAATATCCCTTGATTTAGCAAAGATTTTCTGAACGCACAAAACTTTCATTCAATTCTTTCCTAGTATTCCTTTCACTGTCGTGAACATTCACATGAAAGATTGTAGAAGCATATATCCGACTGATGCAGGTTGGTGACGCGGCGGGCTTCTGAACTTTACGTCTCTGGTACCCACGCAACGCTCCTTATGTGGACTTGAGAAGTGCTGCTGCTTAACATTAAGCTCCTAATTGGGGTCATTGTCAGCCTAGCCGCTACAAATTTTCAGTTAATGAACTA